ATACCCTTATTTATTTCACGAATGTGACCTACCGAATTAGACTTGTTACCGGGTTTGTACTAACACGAGCAACATGACGGGTGCCACATGTGGAGCAGGATCTACTTACGCTTCCGGAGCACCAGAGATTACCCCCAGTTTTGGTGGGGTTCGTGTTGCTTAGTCTTTAGTTTTCTATGTTGTGTTTTGTTATGTGTACTATTGTTTGTCTTTTTCTTTTTTAGCCATGGTGTTGTCAGTTTATTTTCTATTTATGAGTTTGAATGTCCCTTCGGTATCTTTCGCCCCTCTTTTATAAATATACTGATATCCTAAATCCTCTGGTATGTGTACGTTATTGACAAGTGTTTATTTTGTTCATAAAATACCAGTAAATTGGATAAGTGTCAAGGAGATATAGTTTATTGGCAATTTTTTTTTATGTTGCAGTAAGTATTTTATTACAAAATTTTCCTTTTGCAAACATTTCAATGTTCATTTAAATGCAATGTGTAAAATGTGAAAAAGGAAAATGACAAAGAATAAAGTGCCTCTTCAAAATTGTACGATATTTAGGTGAACAATTCCCCTTTATATTGTATTGTAAACATGTTTTTTATTTAATACCTTTTTAGCTCACCTGGCCCAAAGGGCCAAGTGAGCTTTTCTCATCACTTGGCGTCCGTCGTCCGTCGTCCGTCGTCGTCCGTCGTCGTCGTCGTCCGTTAACTTTTACAAAAATCTTCTCCTCTGAAACTACTAGGCCAAATTTAACCACTTGGCCACAATCATCATTAGGGTATCTAGTTTAAAAAATGTGTCCGATGACCCCGCCTGGCAACCAACATGGCCGACATGGCTAAAAATAGAACATAGGGGTAAAATGCAGTTTTTGGCTTATATCTCTGAAACTAAAGCATTTAGAGCAAATCTGACATGGGGGTAAAATTGTTTATCAGGTCAAGATCTATCTGCCCTGAAATTTTCAGATGAATCGAACAATCTGTTGTTGTGTTGCTGCCCCTGAATTGGTAATTTTAAGGAAATTTTGCCGTTTTTGGTTATTATCTTGAATATTATTATAGATAGAGATAAACTGTAAACAGCAATAATGTTCAGCAAAGTAAGATCTACAAATAAGTTATAATGACTAAAATTGTCGGTCGATCCCTTTAGGAGTTATTGCCCTTTATAGTCAATTTTTAACCATTTTTTGTAAATTTTTGTAATCTTTTACAAAAATCTTCTCCTCTGAAACTACTAAGACAAATTTAACCAAACTTGTCCACAATCATCATTAGGGTATCTAGTTTAAAAAAATGTGTCCGATGACCCCGCCCGCGAACCAAGATGGCCGACATGGCTAAAAAATTGTACATAGGGTAAAATGCAGTTTTTGGCTCATATCTCTCAAACCAAAGCATTGAGAGCAAATCTGATGAGGATAATATTGTTCATTAGGTCAAGATCTATCTGCCCTGAAATTTTCAGACCAATCAGGCAACCCGTTGTTGGGTTGCTGCCCCTGAATTGGTAATTTTAAGGAAATTTTGCCGTTTTTGGTTATTATCTTGAATATTATTATAGATAGAGATAAACTGTAAACAGCAATAATGTTCAGCAAAGTAAGATCTACAAATAAGTTGTCATGACCAAAATTGTCGGTCGACCCCTTTAGGAGTTATTGCCCTTTATAGTCAATTTTTAACCATTTTTTGTAAATTTTTGTAATCTTTTACAAAAATCTTCTCCTCTGAAACTACTAAGACAAATTTAACCAAACTTGTCCACAATCATCATTAGGGTATCTAGTTTAAAAAAAATGTGTCCGATGACCACGCCCGCGAACCAAGATGGCCGACATGGCTAAAAAATAGTACATAGGGTAAAATGCAGTTTTTGGCTTATATCTCTCAAACCAAAGCATTTAGAGCAAATCTGATGAGGATAAAATTGTTCATTAGGTCAAGATCTATCTGCCCTGAAATTTTCAGACCAATCAGGCAACACGTTGTATGGTTGCTGCCCCTGAATTGGTAATTTTAAGAAAATTTTGCAGCTTTTGGTCATTATCTTGAATATTATTATCATGATTATAGATAGAGATAAACTGTAAACAGCAATAATGTACAGCAAAGTTAGATCTACAAATAAGTCAACATGACCAAAATTGTCAATTGACCCCTTAAGGAGTTATTGCCCTTTATAGTCAATTTTTTACAATTTTCATAAATTTTGTAAATGTTTGTAAATTTTTACAAAATATTTTCCACTGTAACTACCGGGCCAAGTTCATTATAGACAGAGATAATATTAGTAAGGTGCAAGAATGTTCAGTAAAGTAAGATCTACAAACACATCACCATCACCAAAACACAATTTTGTCATGAATCCATATGTGTCCTTTGTTTAATATGCACATAGACCAAGGTGAGCGACACAGGCTCTTTAGAGCCTCTAGTTTAGTTGCCCTCAAAAATTCTTTTACGACTAATTTTCCACCTAAATCTGAATCTGCAATAAATAGAAGAAAAACATTAAAATTTCAGTCAAAAGTTAAACTAATGTAATTTAGTAATTGTCTTTTGTTGCTGTAGATCACATTTGTTTTTTTGTTTGTTTTTTTTTTCGTTTATTGTTTTGTACATCAATCAGGCCATTACTTTTATTGTTTGAATTGTTTTACATAAGACATTTCAAGACCTCTTACGGTTTGCTATGGAGTATAGGTTTTGCTCATTGTTGAAGGATGAAATTTGACCTATAATTGTTAACTTCTACATCATTTGGTCTTTAGTGCAGAGTTGTCTCATTGGCAATCATATCATATCTTCTTATTTTCATAGGACTGGAGTAGTGACAGTAAAAGGATCGTCAAATCAAAAATTGAAAACTATTTGGATAATAATGCTTTGAGACAAAATAAAAACTAAGAAGAATGTTCATAACAAATAGGTGCTTGTTGACATACACCTCTTTCTTCAACATTTCATGAAACCATAGGGAAAATCAGATTTCTTTTTTTATATTGTGGAACACATGAAGGATAATCACCCTGGAATGTAATTTAGAAAATACCGTAACAATATGTTTCCACTTTATTACCTTACAGAAAGCCTAGCTAAACAGTATCTGATTGGTCTTATATTAGCTTCAAAGTCAGACATCAATGTTTGCGTTTGAAGTTCACCATGAGTAATTTTTGTTTGTTCCGATCGGAGACTCAACATGGACTCATGGTCACCATAGGCTTTCAAAGGTTCATTTTTAAACCAAACGAGAACTTTTTCTTTTGTTCTATTTTCCAAAAGACATCAGAGACACATTGGTACAATAGATATGTCTCTGAACACGTGATCTAAAATGAAATCAAGCCATGAAGGAATATTCTATGGATGACAATTTACTAAGTGTTGTTATTTGATCATGATGAAATTTGCTATTGTAGGATTTGGTGAAAATTGAATACATTTATGTTAATTTTCACCTTCCAAAAATATTCTTTCACCCACTGATCAGATTTTCTGTATCTGTTATGGTTTTTAAATGATCATTTACCTAATTTTACGATTATGTTTATTTTCGGTCATGGTGGCCCTGGTGGTCACATTGGCATATTAAAATAACCTATATTCTACACACTCTGAAAAAGTATAAGGACTACAGATTATAACACCATACGATGGCTTATTTTGTCCCTCGATGAGAAGGCAGAATGAGCCAAGAAAAAAGTTTGAATTTGTTGATTAATATTTGTACATGTTGTATGCTGGATACATATATTTGTTTCTGTATTCATTTTTTGATCCATACATACTTTTTCAAAAGTTTTTGACACTTATGTCATGTCAACATTGGTATCAGTTTGATGAAATATTTAAAATATGAAGTCACAGATAACACTTTATGTATAACTCAATGTCAAAATTGTTATCAGCAGGTTAAATCTTTGCAATGTTGAAAAGCCCATAACATATTTTTAAAAGTGTTGGACAGACTGATTATTCCTGCATCATTTGATTCTATTTCAATTGTTCTTGAAAACTGGGACCATTTGTATTAAGACTAGTTGAAAATAAGTCAAAAGTCAATATCCTAATGGGATCTCATGTAAATTTTCATTGCCTTGTGTGGCCATTTTGAATTCTCTGTTTATCCAAAATAGTACCTATTGCGAATATGATTGTTATGTTTAGTTTCAGTGAGTTGACTCGTTTAAGAGGAAGCATTGAACTTTAGCTTTATCCAATCTCTTCTGTCAGGAATAGATCCTGAAAGTTCGAAGAGCAAATAAAAACCTGCCAAACAAATTCAGCCACATGCTGTATGTGCCTGTGACAAGTTAAGACCCTGCAATTCAGTGATTGTCATTTTGTTACCTACTGTATATCAATTTTTTTTTTCATTTGCTGTTTCAACATTATAAATCAGATAGCTATCTTGTTGGAATTGTTTTACACTTTGTAATCTTTGTGTCTTTCATGGATTGCTACACAGTTTTGGTTTGTTGAAGGCCATACATAACTTTGACCTGTATTTTCTAACATTTACTTGGTTTCTAGTGGAAAGTTGTCTCATTGGCAATCATATACCACATCTCCCTATTTTATATTGATACAGACCCAAGAAAATAGAAGCTACAAGTATCATTCTATTAAACATACAAAATTTCTGAGAAAGACAATTCTGTACTTTTGGATATAAGGTATGTTAACAGACAATTTTAGTCAACTTGATTTTTCATATATAAAATTAATTTTTATGTGAGCTTGTCTGTTTTATTTAAATGGTTGAAAATATACCGTGTATCCGTTCCATATCCTTGTGACATTAAAATATACTGAGCATACATGTAACATGACATGGGAAGAAAGATAGTCAGACAAACCAAATAATTCTTATATTTGGGATATTACATGTGACATTTATATATATATATATGTTAATAATTGATAGCAAGTCTAGTAACCACTTGACTTGGTTAAAAGATTTCTTGGATTCTATGGAAAAGAATGTATGCAGCTTCAAAATTTTGAGCCGATGCCTATTGGCATTTAGCTACTTCTTGTTTGCTGGTATTTTAGAATTAATTGCATGCAGCCACACAGGTCAAGACCTGGTATTGTTCTGTTTTTAAGCTATTTTTTAATGTGCTTGTTAAAACAAATTCAAAACTTTCAACACCTTTTCTGGTAGCTCATCTTTTAAATTACCTGAAAAAAAGAAGACTCATATAGATATTTTGATAATATAAATCTAGAAGTAACAAAAATGTCATGTAAAGATAAAATTGTCTAATTGTTAGTGCATCATTATACTTTCAATTGTGTAAACAACAGAGGAAACAGTCCAATAAAATTATATTTTCTAGTATGTAAGATGAGTAATCAACTGTTAACAAATAAGTCTATTTGCCTTGCTTATATACACAAGTGACAAAAAATAGTCTTTTTAACATTCAAGATGATAACACAATGTTGACTGCTGTACCCCTATTTTTGACATTTTTACCTATTGTGTCTGTTTGTTTTGTTCACGCATCGTTGTCAATATAATGGTATTCGATGCGACTGTCATACAAGTGAGAGGTTAAGCTAGCTATAAAACCAGATTCAATCCACCATTTTCTACATAAGAAAATGTCTGTACCAAGTCAGGAATATGACAGTTGTTATCCATTCGTTTGATGTGTTTGTTTGTTTTTTTTATTTTGCCATTTGATTGGGGACTTTCCTTTTTGAATTTTCTTCGGAGTTCAGTATTTTTGTGATTTTACTTTTCACTGATAAGCTGATAAGTCATTTCTTATAATTATATCATATATGTACTTACTCCTTAGATTCAAAACAGTCTATATCCCTTTCTTTCCGTTTCACATACCTCCACAATCAGAACAGCATCTGCAACAACCAAAATTCAATGTTGCTAATTAAAAGAATGAAAATAATTTATATATCAACAACATAGTCTCATGAACATGATAATTTATGACAAGCAAAAACAGATTTTATCTTACTATCAAATTATCCCATTTATTCATTTCCAAAATAATAAACAGATCTATTTCTCTGGTTCACTTAAAAAACTAACCTTTTTCAGCTGCAGACTGGTATTAATATATGTGTACTCAATGCAATTTTTTCAGTCATATAACCCCAACAGTGAAATAAAACCTGCAAAAAATGACACTAAGAGATTACATTTTAAGCGAAAGTGAACTAAGTAGAAAAAGTGTATGATTCATAATGTCTTTTGGAAACCTTTTTTGTTTAATATCAGAAAATAGCTATGATGCTATCCACAAGGGAAGGATTTTTCACTACAACACGTAGATCCAATTAGCAATGACAAAGTTTCTAGAACCCTGCAGTTAGGGGATAACGCCTTTGATTTAAAAAAATATCTGCTTTGTTCAATATATTATACAGATTAAGCTTCCATAAAGGTGTTGAATAAAGGGACATTGCTTGCGTTACTGCAAAATGTTTAGAAGTGAGAGATAACTTCTTTGAAACATTAGACAAATGTTAGAATCATGTAAATAACAACATGGATAAAACTGACACAAACTGTAGCAACAATATAAGGTGTCCACATTAGTGGGGCATCCAGGCCTGTTACTAAGAATGCACTGTGTGGATGCAACTTGCCCTAAGTCAATGTTTATATATAGTAACATACATTTGTGTATTTCATCAGATCAATGCAGATGTTCATGAAACTGTGTAAGAATCTTTAGGTCTTAATCGGAAGATGCATTTATTATATTGGACACCCTGGTCTGTTAAATTGACACATCCCAGGGGTAGTAGTCCTGCTCTTTAAACGTTTCTAGTTTCAAATTAAGGCTCTGTTCTAAATATGCCAAAAACCAACTGTTTTTCAATACATTGTATAAATGGTTTTCATCCAAACTTTTCATAAGATACACATTCATATAGGTACATTTGTAAATGTGCATGTAATTTTTTATTATGTGAAGTTTATGTGATGATAGATTGGTGTTTAGTGGCAAACATTACATTCATATCAGGACAAAGACATGTAAATGTAATTCATGTATGAGTATAAATTTTGCCATTAGATATATATACATGCTGAGCCAGATTTTTAATGTGCCAGTTTACTAGGTAACAGTCCACAAGACGACTATAAGACAAGTCATATAATCATACATATTATTTCAAACAAAGCTGACCAGTCTTTACTCTTACTCTGAAATGCTATATGCTTAAGAAAAAGCAACTACTAATTTTCAAGTAATCAGGTTGACTTGGCCTAAGTTAAAACCCATGCATGCCTCATTTGAAGCACCATGGATTTGATATTATCGATCAATAGCAGAGAACACTGCATAAATATTGCCATTGTTTATTTATGGTCATGATCATGCAAGCATGGGTTAAAAAAATTCTGAGTAAATACTTAAAAGTTAATCACTTTGGTTGCCTTTTATGAAAGGACAAAAATGCTACCATGTGCAATACAAAGATTTAATATTGACCTGACAATTAAACACAGACTAAGAGTACAATATGGTTAAAACTATGTACAAAATGTATATCAAGCAATGTAATTATTGTATTAGGATGCTATTCACTTACATTCAGCCAACACTTACAGTAGGAGCTATTTCTAGGATTCGTCATGCATATTCATTTCATAACTGTGTGGTAAACAATTTGTGAAGTGGTGTTTGATTAGCATATCAATAGAACAACAACATGCAACTGCAAACTCGATAATTTGTTGCTTAATTTTATTTTTGTCATTTTATATCGAGTAGTAGAACTTTATAAACCATTTGTAATGGATATTATGTCAAATAATAGAATAGTTTATCTTTTTATGTCATATTCTTGAAAAAAGTTGAAATTGCAAGAACCTTATTCCAGTTATACTTGGATTAAAATTGGACGAACAATCAAACTTTAACAGCCATATTGAATCAACAATAAAGAAAGCCAAAAGATCTTTAGGAATTTTAAGAGAAATCAAAGGAATAGCTTTAATACCAACCAAGACACTTGTTCAAATTTATGTTAGTTTAGTATGTTCAATTTTTAATTATGCTAGCAGCATTTGGCAATCCAGCAATTCGTGTCATCTTAACAAATTGAATGAAATTCAGAGAAAGGGGTTAGCTATAAGCTTAGATTTACCATCTAATTCATCTCTTGAGGCATTAGAAGTACTTAGTGGAACATTATCAATAGATTTAAGAAGAGAAGAAATGGCCATCAGAGAATTAGTTCATACAGTAATAATGTCCCAATTAAAAGAAAATTTGAAATTTGGAAAGAGGAGGAACATCTAGAAAAATATCTTTCACCATTAGGAAAAATGTATCAACAAACAGAAGACATGAGAGATACAGAAATGGTTGATATATACAAGATGGAACCCCAGTATGAATACCAAGGTCTGATATCAGTTGTCAGAGCCCCTGACTACTGGCGAAATATAGGCAGCTTACAATCCAGAACAAAAGCCCAAAAAGAAAAAGGAAAACAAATTATCTCTGAACAACTCAAATCTCAACCACCAAACACAGCAGTCGCTTTTACAGATGGGTCATGTTTGGGAAATTCAGGCCCATGTGGTGCTGGAGCTATAATTTACATAGATAATCAAGAAGAAAAATTAAAAAAACCTGTATCTAACAAAGGATCAATCTTGCTAGCTGAACTTATACCAATAAAAGTTGTACTTGATTTCATAGTATCTTTTGCAAAAACTCCTATTGAAACTTTGTCTATTTTTTTCTTAACTCTTAATTGGAAAAGTGACAACTCTCATCAAACCATTAACAAAATCAAAGGAAAAATAAAAATTTTAAATGGACATGGAATTTCAATCAACTTCAACTGGAAACCAGGCCATGCCAACATAAAAGGAAATGACAAAGCAGACACTTTGGCAAAAGAAGCTGCTAAAGAAGCAGAAACACTAGCAGTTGAGGACATACTATTTACAAAACAAGATGTAAAAAAGGCAGCTAGAAATTCAGTTACAAAAAAAATGGCAACGAAGATGGGGAAAACAGCATTTCTGGACGTCATTATTTTAGATTTCATCCTGAAGTTAAAAATAAAGTAAAAAAAGACTTCCCATCAAAAAGAATGTACAACGTACATAATCAACAGTTTAAGAACAGGTTATTTCAAACTAAATGCATACCAGCTTATAATAAACCAAGACATCAATTCTGAAACCTGTGATCACTGCAAACAAAAAGAAGATGTACAACACTACCTTTTTGAATGTGATCTCTATTCCGATGCTAGAGACAAATTATTTCATCAAATTTACTTCATAACAGGTCAAATTCCAACAGATTTAGACAATTTATTAACAGTCAATATGCCAAATGCAGAAAATGTCATCCAATTAATAGCAGAGTACATAGAGGAAACAAACCGTTTTAGTGGATGATTTAATAGACATTCTTTTTATTTTTTTCATGTCAATTCAATTATCTGATTATACATTTTTTTAAATTTGATTTTTTTCTAAATACTTTTTTTTTCTTTATTATTTTTTCTTTTTCTTTTCTTTTTATTTTTTAAAAGCGCCACCTACGATATTTAAGTACAACAGAGAAACTACATAAGTGACTATAATTTTACAAGAGAGGATAATTACAAGACAGATTACCCTGTCATCACGACAAAGATTGAAGATTGAAGATTATTTTGGTGTCTGCTAAAGAAAACAAGGCTTATAAAGCTTTAGCATTTAACTAATTATGTATAAGAAGGGACCACTGGTATTTTATGTAAATGGTAAAAAGGTAAGAAACATTTGTAATTACTTCATATTTAGTAATGACATTTTTGCTGGATAATTTAATGACTAAAACGACTAAAAATATGTACAAAAAGTACACCTTGGACATAGGGGTTTGTTACAATTTGTCGGTTTTACTATCCATACGAACCCCGAAAAAATCACAAGGGAGGAAGCTCATTTGCGACGTTGCTTCGAATTATTGTTTCAAAATTTTTCTAAGACTTTTACTAACTTTGTGACCTGAATAAATCTGTTCCCACTTGATTTATCTCTTCAATGACATATATGTATGCCCTTAAGTAACCTCTATAACCATTGTAATCCTTAAAATGAACTTGACATTTTTTCTGAACTAGAATCCATCGACGCCCTACATTTGAAAGTGAAAGTTCTAAGGGAGCTACCATTTGATTTTTATGGGGGGATAGGATGAAATTTGAAAAAAAAGGCAAGACAGGAGTTTTGAGGTAAAAAAAAGGCAGGATGAGCAACTTGGCAAAAAAAAAGGCAGGATGACAATTTATGTAAAAAAAGTCAGGATTAACTAATAAAAAAAAGGCAGGACCGAATAGAGTGAAAAATAAAAAGGCAGGACAGAGATTACAACTTAAAAAAAAAATGCAGGACAAAATTTTTCATCCTAGCCCCCGATAAAAATCAAATGATAGCGTCCTAAAGGAACGTCTGGCGGAAAATATATTTTCGGCACTCTCTGGAATTTACTATAATTTGAAGAACATACACAGTGTGTACCTAATGGAGATAATTTAGAGGGAAATAATTCCCACCATTTTTTACATTAATGAAATCTAAAATACCGTAGACTTCCGAAAAACATAACAATTATAGTAAACTCCCGAGGGTGCCTAAAATATATTTTCCGCCAGGCATCGCTTTAGTACTTTCATTTTCAAATGTAGGGCGTCGATGGATTCTAGTTCAGAAATGTCAAGTTCATTTAAGGATTACAATGGTTATAGAGGTTACTTAAGGGAATACATATAGGTCATTGAAGAGATAAATCAAGTGGGAACAGATTTATTCAGGTCACAAAGTTAGTGAAAGTCTTTTTTTGAAACAATAATTCGAAGGGGTCTCACTAAATTGACATCTTTTTTTTTATATATACGGCCAGTAATAACGTGATTTTCATTATTTTTATTATTTTAATAGATGAAGAAATTTAACATTTGTAAAGAAGAAAGGGATTGTCTCGTTTCTATTAAATATAACGAAATATGTTTAAGATAATGTATGTACTGTTTTAGGCAAAGTCATTGTATGAAAAAGTAAAATCACCAAAATACCAAACTCCGAATAAATTATTGAAGATAACAGTACACACAGTGTGAAACATCAAATGAGAAGACGTTACTAAGTTAAAAAAAATGTCTCTAATCCATTTGTCAAATGTCAAAAAAAATATGTTTAGAAAATAAATCAAATGAGAAAAGCGATACGCGTGTCCTTTGTTTTAATTGCTACAATAACATCCAGTTATCACCTTCAACTTTGTACACGCGTCAGACTATATAATTACACACACCAGAATATACAAGCATTGTAAATAGTAAACCCCTGATGAAAACTCATCATTGTCTTTAATTACCTTTAAACTTCAGTCATGCATAAACATGATAAATATCGTTTAATGAGTCAATACACAAAATAAAATGATGTAAAATGTTTACGTTTTAAATACGTTTTCCTCTAGTTTGATTTCAATGATTTCAGATTTCTATAGTAAATCCTACTATACCAATCCTTGGTTCATTGTTTCTCACAAATTATGTCTGTTTTTTTCTGCCGGACAATGATGCATAAATAATGCATTTTGCATGCAGTCAGTTTATTATATATTAGACAAAGAGAGTGTGTAAAAAAAATTATAAGATAATATATATAATTGTTCTAAAACACAAGTAAAAATTAATATCATAATATGACAGGGAAAACGTAATATTTGCTGTAATACATATCACAAATAAATGTAGCAATTAGATCTATGTTTCAAACATGTGTGATGCTTTACTACTATAGATATTGACTTTTTTATAAACTTATATTTATTGATAGAATATTTGATTTTTTGTCGCTAAATTTGTTTTCTTGTCGCTAAATAGTGTTCTTGTCGCTTAATTTTTCTTCTTGTCGCTAATTAGTGAGACCGATTAAAAGCAACATCGCAAATGAGCTTCCTCCCTTGTGATTTTTTCGGGGTTCGTATGGATAGTAAACCCGGCAAATTGTAACAAACCCCTGTGCCTTGGACTCATTTTGTCCTAGAATGGGAACAATACCTGTATGCCTAACAGCCTTTTCTTTTTCTCAATAAATAGTAAAATGAGTTTAAACAATCATGTACTGACACATTTTCAATTTTCTTATTAGCCATGTAAAGGTTAGACAATACTTGGTCATGTTTTCTAAAGATTTAAAGCCCAAGGCGTAGCCGAGGGTTTAAATGTTCATAAAAAATGACCAAGTATTGCCTGACCAATTTAGAACATACCCATTCACACTTTAGAGTGACCTTACAAAATTATCCTTTCCCATTGTAATATTCAAACCTTGATAATAATTCACTTTCATACAAAAGGAATGTATAACATAAGTAATGATCATTGCAATGGATGGAATGAAATAGCACTAACATAGTTTTGTGAGGACAAAAAGGATGAATTGATCGAACATTGAGTTTTTCTTCTGCTTCAGGTAAAATTTAATACTGATATACCTTAAATTTCTTTATTTTAAAAAGCACACAATGTTATATAAATCAGCTTTTTGAAATTTGTATATATTTTGATAATTATAAAACTCCCTCTATAAATATTTGAATTACAACCATTCAACATCAGATGCTTACTTTTTAAATGATGAATGTACATGTATTGTGGTTTTTTTTCGAAAAAAATCATTTGATTTATATATCAGCAGTCTTTAAAGAAAAAAAAAAAGATTGACAAGAATGTCTCGTATCAAAATTGAATAAAAGATTATTTTACCTACATCTTTGCCCCCATTTCATTTTTTGTTTGTTATATATATGTACCATGATAAACATTTGCAAAATTCAAAATTCAAAACGTTTTTGTATAATTCTATTCTCTTTCATCTTTAATCAATAGGCTATTTTCCCGAGGAAAATAGCTCAGGGGATTGTACACTTCGTTAGTGTAGTTATTTAGAGTTCCCTTTCATAATTAATCTACAATGAAAAGTCATTCATGTAAAGCATTTTAGAGTGCATGGAAAGCCATGTACTATGAAAATTAGAAGGGAAAAAACTGCACTTTCTAGGCTTATAAAACACAATATTTTCTTCTGAGGTTGATTTGATTTTATTTCTTGACAAAATCAGGATAATAACAATAACAAAATAGATACCCTACAAAATAAATACAATAGTAAGATTCTGACCGTTTATCAAATTAATAATCTACTACATAGGTTTCTATCCATGTAATATGATAAACAAATGTTTAACTAATAGAAAATAGAAATAAATCTGTTCTGCATGTATTTACAACAACATGCTTATATTGTTGAACGTATCTGACAAAGTTTAGTCCATTTGCACTTAATGACTCATATTATATAAACAGGTCTTAATATATAGAAAATGACAAAAGCGGTTAAAGCAAACTTTAACATAGGAAAGTTTACAAAACTAAAAGCAAAAGCTGCATGCTGTATAAATGTGTTAAGCATAAAATAGCAACAAACAAAAATACGAACATTACAAAAATAACACTTAGCTTAATTACCTCGCATGAGGTGCAAAGGCCTCCTGAATTATCTAATGGAATTATTCACATCTTCCCAGGATTATTAAACATATACCTGTATAACAAATAAACAAATTGTTATCCATGTTTTACTGTAATTATCCACCTGTTTACGATTTGTACTCGTAGTTAAAATAATTAATCAATACCACATAACCTTTATTATGTTTATATCTTTACCTAAAGTATTTAAAGCATTCATACCGGAACACTCGAATTCTCAAACAATGTGTATTAAATAAATTATTTACCAAATTAGTTAAAAGTACTTTATTTATGAAAATATGAAAATAACGTCTCTTAATCTGTTTAATCAAACAGATAATACTTTATTTGTACTTTATCTATTTTATAGCATTTTATAGCATTCATCTCGCATTCAACATTTACGCATCAGCCTTTCATTCTAAACATTCATTCTAAATTAAAATAATAAATATCTGGACTATTAACATATAATTAGTAATAGAGAAATATAACTGACCTGTATAAAGAATATAGAGAACTGAGAAAGACTATAAATCAAACTTAGAAAAATATCAAACACATATGACTATGTCCACCATTATATCAAAAGTGATGACCAGAATAAAGAACAAAAGAAATATAGCGCCAAAACATAATGACCAATAGAAATAAAAAAAGTGTGCGGTCCACTGAACCATGAAAAGAAAGCCTTTGAAGTAAAATACAGTGAAACCAAAGTTACCAAAACCAGTAGAAAATGTCGTCTGTCAATTAGTCCAAATGTCAAATAAGTAAATAAAATGAACTAAGCAAATAGATATACAAATCAATTAATTACAATCTGTAATTAATATACTCATACCTTTAATTAATCAATATAAGTCATATAATATACAAAATACAATACTATTAACTAAATATAGAAATATACACAATTACTGTAAAACCAATAAAATATAGTCTACCACATAGGGAAAATGGATCCAGTTATGAACCCTTTTTTTATTTAGTATTGAACCTGGGACCAAGGATTTGTATAATCAGACTACTTACATTGTGCTATACAAATCCTTGCTGGAACATGCAAATATATAGAAGGACGAATCCATGACTCTCGCCCCACTGGCAAATCCCCCCACTTTTTCACCAACTCGCCCCACTTTTTAAAAATTCGCACCACTCTTGTTTACCAACTTGCCCCACTGATGAAAAAGGATGCAATCCCGTTGAATATAAGTCTGCCAACTCACCCCACTTATAAATAAAAGAATTAAACTGTACTGAATTAAGGCCTGCCAACTCGCCCCACTTATAGACTGGTACCCGGCCGTTATTGACAAGCTTGACTTGATATTTGTATATTCCGAGGGCATGTATACTGAATACATGTATTTTACTAAGAGAACCAACCTACCCATTTGTGAATTAAATGAATACTTATGAAAACCTTAGAAATGCATCATGTTTTTATGCCCCCGCCGTAGTGGAGGGGGCATTATAATTTAAGTTTTACCCTTATCCGTCTGTACGTCCGTCTGTACGTCCCAAAGTTGGTTTCCATTCTCTAACTTTAGTTTGCCTCAACCAAATGTTATAACTTATACACAATGCTTATTACCACAAAACACAGATCAAGTTGGAATTTTGGTGGCGTCACTTTAACCGTTCTAGAGTTATGCGCCTTGACAAATGGAAAAATTGCTGAATTTTTTGTTTCCGTTCTCTAACTTTAGTTTGCCTCAACAAAATGGTATGAAACTTATACACAATGCTTATCACCACAAAACAAAGATCAAGTTGGAATTTTTGTGGCGTCACTTAAACCGTTCTAGAGTTATTCCACTTGACAAATGGAAAAGTTGCTGAATTTTTGGTTTCCGTTCTCTAACTTTAGTTTGCCTCAACCAAATGTTATGAAACTTATACACAATGCTTATTACCACAAAACACAGATCAAGTTGGAATTTTGGTGTCGTCACCTAAACCGTTCTAGAGTTATGCCCCTTTACAAATGGAAAAATTGCTGAATTTTTCGTTTCTGTTTTCTAACTTAAGTTTGCCTCAACCAAATGTTATGAAACTTATACACAATGCTTATTACCACAAAAAAAAGATCAAGTTTGAATTTTGGTGGCGTCACTTAAACCGTTCTAGAGTTATGCCCCTTTACAAATGGAAAAATTGCTGAATTTTTCGTTTCTGTTTTCTAACTTAAGTTTGCCTCAACCAAATGTTATGAAACTTATACACAATGCTTATTACCACAAAAAAAAGATCAAGTTTGAATTTTGGTGGCGTCACTTAAACCGTTCTAGAGTTATGCCCCTTTACAAATGGAAAAATTGCTGAATTTTTCGTTTCCGTTCTCTAACTTAAGTTTGCCTCGTCCAAATGTTATGAAACTTAAACATAATGCTTATTACTACAAAATACAGATCAAGTTTGAATTTTGGTGGTGTCACTTCTACTGTTCTAGAGTTATGCCCCTTTACAAATGGAAAAATTGCTGAATTTTATCACAAAACTCAGATCAAGTTGGAATTTTTGTGGCGTCATTTAAACCGTTCTAGAGTTATGCCCCTTGACAAATGGAAAAATTACTGAATGTTTGGTTTCTGTTCTCTTACTTTATTTGTCTCAACCAAATGTTATGAAACTTATACACTATGCTTATAACCAGAAAACAAAGATCAAGTTTGAATTTTTGTGGCGTCACTTCTACTGTTCTAGAGTTATAAAATTGAGAATGGAAATGGGGAATGTGTCAAAGAGACAACAACCCGACCATAGAACAGACAACAGCAGAAGGTCACCAACAGGTCTTCAATGCAGCGAGAAATTCCCGCACCCGGAGGCGTCCTTCAGCTGGCCCCTAAACAAATATATATACTAGTTCAGTGATAATGAACGCCATACTAAACTCCAAATTGTACACAAGAAACTAAAATTAAAAATAATACAAGACTAACAAAGGCTAGCTTGGGACAGGCGCAAAAATGCGGCGGGGTTAAACATGTTTATGAGATCTCAACCCTCCCCCTATACCTCTAGCCAATGTAGAAAAGTAAACGCATAACAATACGCACATTAAAATTCAGTTCAAGAGAAGTCCGAGTCTGATGTCAGAAGATGTAACCAAAGAAAATAAACAAAATGACAATAATACATAAATAACAACAGACTACTAGCAATTAACTGACATGCCAGCTCCAGACTTCAATTAAACTTATTGAAAGATTATGTCTTCATCATATGAATATCAGGCACAATCCTTCCCGCTAGGGGTTTAGTATCATACCATCATCACATATATGAGAAGAACATAACCTGTGTCATGCCAACAACTGGTTTTTAAATAAATGTGTTTAGTTCCGATGCAAAGACACTATAAGTGAATCAATATTAACGCCAAAATATGCAATCTTTAATGACCTGACAACAGTATCGTAACTATATCCCTTCTTAATAAGTCTATTTAAAGGTTTTGTTAGCTTCAGAGGTGAATACTGACATTTTTGTGCTTGATAAAGAATATTTCCATAAAAAATTGGATGTGAAATACCTGAACGTATAAGAAGTCTACATGTTGAGCTAAATTTACGAATGATGTCCTTATACCGATGATAAAATTTAGTAAATGTTTTGACTAGTTTGTGATATCGAAAACCCTGGTGTAATAATTTTTCAGTAATACATAAATTTCTCTCGTTAAAATCTAAAACATTGTTACATACACGAGCGAATCGAACAAGTTGAGATATATAAACACCGTAAGATGGTGACAAGGGAACGTCACCATCTAAAAATGGATAATTAACGATAGGAAATGAAAAATCATCTCTTTTATCATATATTTTAGTATTAAGCTTTCCGTTAATGATATAGATATCAAGATCGAGGGAAGGGCAGTGGTCATTGTTAGTATTAGCTTTATTTAAAGTAAGTTCAACAGGATAAATTTCTTTAGTATACATACTGAAGTCGTCATTATTGAGAGCCAAAATATCATCCAAATATCTATAAGTATTATTGAATTTGTGTATCAGATGTTGTTTCGATGGGTCTTTGCTGATTTTTGTCATAAATTGTAACTCATAGCAATACAAAAAAAGGTCCACAATAAGTGGTGCACAGTTAGTCCCCATTGGAATTCCGATAACCTGACGATATACGGAATCTCCAAAGCGAACAAAAATGTTATCTAGTAAAAATTCAAGGGCATATATAGTATCAAAGCATGTCCAATTGACATAGTTTTTTTGTTTATTGCTACTAAAAAATGACCTAAAAGAGTTTGAACATATATATTCACATTCTGACTTTTTAAATGCCCATTTAATTAGGTGTGTGAATTTTTTCTTAATGAGAATGTGAGGCAATGTGGTATAAAGGGTAGAAAAATCAAAACTTTGAACAGATTCAAAATCACCAATATATGCATGCAATTTATCAAGTACTTCCAACGAGTTCTTGACACTCCAAAAGTAATTAATTCCACTATTTTCGAAGGCCTTATTTGAACAATTTATGCCCCTTTACAAATGGAAAAATTGCTGAATTTTTCGTTTCTGTTATCTCACTTAAGTTTGCTTCAACCAAATGTTATGAAACTTATACACAATACTTATTATAACAAAACTCAAATCAAGTGCAAATTTAGGTAGCGTCACTTTTACCGTTCTTCAGTTATGTTTCTTTATAATTTCATATGATATGTATAAAGCAGGGCATCATCTGTGTCCCATGGACACATTCCCCATTTATTTTAGTTCTTTTCTTTTGGTTGAAATAAAACAAAATGAAGTAAGTATCAGCATTTCTGTGACTTCAATGTTATTGACTATAGTAACTGTTTATGACGTTTTTTCCCCTGGTAAATATAATCACTGTTTTATAAGATAAGTCAATAATCATGGGTGTTTACTTAATAATAAATAATGTATCCACAATTATATTTTAAGAAGTGAAACATCATTTAATTTCAATAATAACCATATTTTAAATTTTCATTTTTTTTGTATTCTGTGTAGATAAGTTTTCATTTAAGTTGGGCGAGTTGGTAAACCAGTGTTGGGCGAGTTTGTAAACCAGTGTGGGGCGATATTTTCATAAGTTGGGGCGAGTTGGTAAACAAGAGTGGGTTGATTTTTGAAAAGGCGGGGCGAGTTGGTGAAAAAAGGGGGCGATTTGCCAGTGGGGCGAGTTGTCTTGCTTCCAGAAAGTCTTGTAACTAAGCAAGAATATTTTCATTTTCATTCTTGTAAATGGCTATCACTGAAGGCATATGCAATATATTTAAATTTATCTTTGCAAACAATATGGTTTTCTATTTTTCTAACTCAAGTTAGTACACGTAGTTGTTTATTGATATTATTCAAAATGACATGTATATGACATGAAAGATGAAAGATTGTAGGGTCACTCAGCATGGCATATGGTGAATTTTCATTTCCATAATTTTATTTAATAAGTTATTTTGCTGTCTTATTCCAAAGTCGAGAATTTCTCATTTTCATAGCAAACTGTTCACATGCAAATATTTTAATTTTGGTCATGATATTGCTTTGTTTTTACATCTACTTTTTCCCTGATAATCTACATGTATGTATGTTACTTCCAAAAAGTTAGATGAGGTCCAAAATAAAGGTGGGCAGATTATTTATCTTCACTAAGACCAGGGCCAGAATATTTATTTTCATTTCATCCTCAAATTGACATAAAAACTGCCCCTCCTCAACCCCCCAACCTTTGAGAATAAAATTTTCACTACCTAAAGTAATTTAAATTGTGTGATACACAAAAAACTTAAACTAATAGAGAAGTCCAAAATGAGGTCTAGAATATATAATCTTCTTATTTTTATATCTACTAATATGAAGAAAATATTAGCACAACAATCAAAAGGTGGATCCAAGGTCCTAGGGGTCTTATTGTGAGGTTTTTATTATTGCAAATAATGCGACTGGGTGAATAATGCAATGATAAGAAACCGCAATCTGATATCTGATACACATGTCTGTACGCAATTTTCCTGAAATCGCAAAAATTAATCTCGCATTTTTTTCCATTCTTAAAAAAAAATGCAATAATAAATGCATTAAATAATTTCTGAATTTACAGTAGTTTGATAGGAACTGCTCAAAGATATTTTTATATAGTTGCATTACTATCAGTACATCTCAGTTTGACAATCATTTTGATGCACTGACCGGCCCTCTATGTCATGGTCAAGCAACTCTGAAATAACTAGAAATAATGCTGACTATCAGATTGTCTTTTTCTGGGTTTTTTTTGCAGACAGGTGAGGCATATCTCTGTGTCAACAGTTTATCTTAGATTTCCTACTTAAAATTGAAACAAATATAAAAAGGCTTTAGATGTTACAGTGTTCTAGCTAAAATCTGATGGCAGAAAGATGCAGTCCATTGAAAAGGGAACCTATTTGTAGTAATCCATTGTTTAAAGATTTAGTTCATTGACAAATAAAATAAGTCCTTTTTATATCTGTTTTCAAAAACGCATCATAACTTCCTTCTTAAAGATCTAGATATAAATGATTGGAGGGATTTATAAGCCTTGAATACAAGACAAGTTCCTCTTCTCTAATGATTAATATGATATGCACATCAATTTCTTGTGTTATTTGATAACCATCTGGATTTTTGTCAAGTATGTCTAAGACTAAAGTGAAAGTTTTAATCATTATGTGTAATATATGTCATATTCTTCCTCATGGCACTTCATGGGATTTAATCCATCGTATTAAAATTCTTGATTCAGAAAATAATTCTCGACAACCATTTAAACTGTATTTTATTATAATATTTTAAAAACAGTGTAATTCAGTTCCTGATAAAGTTAACCTTCGGCAGTTTGTATGCAAATTGTGTAAATTTTATTATAGGTAAATTTCATTATAAAGGGAATTAACTCCACATTAGTTGTTTTAATTGACAGATTTCTCCTCAACATTAAGGTTCAGTTTGTGGTTAAAATTTCGATAGACATCAATAACTTTGTGGAACCTTCTTGGAATTTTAACTTGTACAGAAACTTGTTTATGACATAAAGACAGTATCCAATTTTTTTCATCAATATTAATAGAAATATAGCAAATATCTATCTTGCTTTAATTGTTCAATATCAAACCAGTTAAAACACAAGAATTAACATCAAAAAGATCTATTAATGACAGGAGACAATTGGCTTATACATTCACAAAGAAATGAGTAAATCTCAGCTGTCTGCTATCTAACTAACCCTTGATAACAGTGCTTTGTGACAGGTTATTTAATTATTAATTAATGCTTGTTTATACAGTACCGGTAATTACTGATCTTGTAAGTTTGATCACCGGAAAAGTTTTTTTCAGGTAAAAAGTCCATTGACTACCAGTCAGAAATTCTTTTCTATATTAAGACGGAAATGAGGTCAGACTCTGAAACAGTGATATTCTTGACTCACATGTACATGTACACTTACAATGCGACAGCTAACGTGAAACAAAAAATATAAAAGAACAAATAGAGTACTGTAAGAAATTGTCTACAACATTAGAAATGATAGGAAAATGTCTATACCAGTTATCATACCATGCTGTAGATTCGTTTATTTTCGTGGGTACCAATTATCGTGGATTGAGGAAAACTTGATTTTTTTAGTGGATATTTAATTTCATGGCTTTGGCAAAGAATGTGTCGAGATATATTTAGACAGCTTTAAGAGTCAAGAATGTGTCAAGACATGTTCAGACATTTTTAAGAATGTCAAGAAAATGTCAAGAATTGGTCGAGACTAATCAAGACACTTATCAGGTGATAAAGAAAGTTTCGAGAAATTTTTAGACAATGTTAATACTGTCAAGACATATGTCAAGACAAATCAAGAACTTCATTATACAAATTCAGACGTTAATTTGTCAAGAATTTTTAAAAATATTTCAGACAAAGAAAGAATGTCGAGTAAAAATTCATGCAAATTCAGACAAAAAATGGTCTTTTCAGATTTTTAGACTTTTGTAGTGTAGTTTATCGCTATTTTACGAAATTTTCCTTTGATCTTGCTGACTGATAATTTCCTTTCTCAGCGGAGTCGAGTGATATGAAAAATTATTGCTAGAAACTTAGGGGGCAGGTGGCGTTGTCAATGAAATTGACATGAAATTGACAACGTCGTCATAGGTAAAATAGCGATAAACAGATTATCATTGGTCATCTCAACTCGATTGCTTTTCTCACTTTCGCCGTACAGGCTCAAGCGAGAAAATCAATCTCGTTGAGATGATCAGCGATAATCTATAAATATCAGAAAATTTTGGCATGAGTAAAATGTTTACTAAGGCCTAATTCACTCCAAATACAGACAATGTCGGTTGTGAATAAATAAAAACAGGGACTTTTTTTTTAATCATCTTTTTTCATGTCACTTTTTCTATTTATATTAAATTGGAGATTGGAGTCTTAGATGGGCATAGCCATTGTTTTTCTATTATATCTTTCAATGTTATTATGAAGGGTTACAGTCTCATTGGGTTATACCCCTCTTCTTCTTTTATGATAGAACCGTAGAAATATCTGATTATCGTTTTTCAAAAATTGTTTTTCCATCCATGTTTTAACAGAACATTACAGATTTACATTTTTATTACAGGTACAAGATCCTGATCCTGATCCAGGTTATACATTACTGTACTACCTCAGAAAGAAATGTATCCTTTCAAACAAATATACATTAAAGCTCTGTAGTTTTTGGGATAAAGATTGCATGACATTCTATCAAAACCTTCATTGTACAGTACTGATTTGATTTCTATATCTTCCACCATGGCCCCGAAGGGTGACTTGGGAATAGAAATATGGTTATTAATGTCTTCTTCAGACCGGCAGTAAAACTCTTGCCGAAGTGGGGCATCTGTTTGGCTGTGCTGGATGTACAAGTTTGAAGTCGTGTATGGTCAGAAAGAGGACGTTAAATTGATGATATGTTATACTTAAATATTCAAGATTCAATATAATGTGTATTTAAATTAGCATACTTGTCAAGAAAACTTTTTTTTATTAATAAATTACATAAGTATTGTATGGCGTATGAATCTGTTATAAAATAGGTTCAACTGCAAATGTGAGGAGACATTATCAAGCTTACCTGCGTCTAGTGTAAGAACTGTCTTAGAGAGGGGAAAAGACCTGCGTAAATGAACTATAAACAGATTATCGGGTTTTCTACATATTGATATCGAAAAAAAATGAAACAATGGGAAGCTTTTGTGATTGTTCACTGCGTTCACTTGCCGAAAAAAACAAAACGTTCACATTGTGGCTCAAGGCTGATATTTTACGATATCAATATCCATATGTAGAAAAAACTGATAACCTATATATATATTAGTGATGTACAAATTGTTCATGGCTTTTGTAAGATTATTGATATCAATATTTATTATAGATTAGATTATTTTAACCTACTTTTTATAAACTGAATGATCATGCATATATTTATCATTTGTGTTTGTCTAATAAAAATGTAAACACATACATTCATATAAATAAGAAGATGTGGTATGAGCGCCAATGAGACAACTCTCCATCAAAGTCATAATGTGTAAAAAGTAAACCACTATAGGTCAAAGTATGGCCTTCAACACGGAGCCTTGGCTCACACCAAACAGCAAGCTATAAAGGTCCCTAAAATGACTAGTGTAAAACAATTCAAACAGGAAAACCAACGACATAATGCCTGTCAAATAAAAATATATGCACATTATTACATGGTTGTCTCAATTTTTATTGTCCAGCATCAATAAAGTCATGAAGGTGTTACCTAGGCAAGCTGTGTTGGTAGTCACAGCAATTTGTTCAAGTTTGTGATTTTGTCAGTTTAAGAAGAACCACTAATTAGGAGATAACTGTATTGCATTTTATGCTTGGCTTTCGTAAAACGTTGATTTACGGAGGCCAAGCTTAAAATACAATACAGCTATTTACATTCTAATGCCACATATTAAAATAAATTCCATTTAATAAATATTTGGCTAAAAAAATGCCATAATGAAAAAGTCTGCGAAACTGTTGCATCGTCTTTGGTATCTAAACAATAGGACGTCATATGTATAGTCCCGATGTCTAACATAAACACTAGACATATTTATGCTATTCGTATGCTTCTGAATTGTTTCAATATTGATAAAAAGTTTATTTTGTTTATTTTTTTGAGAAATTACATACCAAAAAAAATTCGGAATTCAAAATGGTGGCTTTCTTAGTTACGGACTGGTAGAACGTGGAATTTAACTCTTCAAAAAATTTGTCAACGTCCAATTAAATCATCGTTACAACTGAATTGCATCATAGAATGGTATGTTCATGCTATTTGTATGCAGTTGAAGTAGCATTTGAACATTTCATTACTATGGAGATAATTGAGGCATCTCCCTGTTAGTCATGGTTTATTGATGTTGAAACTTAGTTTAAATCTTAAAGTCTCCAAATTGGGTCAGTTTGAGGGAAATCACTAATAGTGTGTAGTTGTATCATCATTAATGCATCTCATATCTATGAAGATTATTTAAACCAGGATCCTTAGTCATAGTCTATTGACTTAAGCATAGTTTACATGTTGTGATTAGGTCAGTTTAAGGTGAACCACTAATGGCAGATCAACGATATTTGAAATGTAACTGTATTAGTATTAGCATGTCTCATTCCAATGGAGATTGCATGGCCCTTTCCCTTCATTATTTGTTCATTGACTTTTGGATATTACTAGTTTTCATGTTTAAATTTGTGATAAGGTCAGCTTAAAGGGAACCACTTATGATAAGTTCATGATATTTGATATGCCGTTTCACAGATACTATTTGGCACCAACTCTCCAGTCATGGCTCATTGACTTTGGATGTTTAGCATAGTTATCACGTTTAATTATTGCAATTTTCTATCAAAATAACACAATATAGAGACATATATCTCTGTCAACAATTTATATTCTTTTATCATTCATATTCAAAATTTAAGAGAAAAGAAAAAGCTTATTTGAATTTTTTGTTCACAGTATGAGATCAATCCATGTGTATATCTGATAAACTCTGAACACTGCCTTAAGATTTGTAAAAATTCTGTCCAGATATAATTTTATTGTTGTTGCCTGTTTTTACATGTTTAAAAAAGAACTTAAAGTCAAATAAAATTTCATGATTTAAAAAAAAGTTGATTATGTGTTATATACTTGAATGGCTGTAAAACAAGTGTCAGAACATGAACTTTTTAAAAAAAAGAAAATCCTTTATGTTATCAAAATCTTCACAAATGTACCAATATTAATTTGACTTCCCAGGAACTAATTCGCTGATATTTTCCCATATGCAGTGACCATCTATTCATTCATAAATATGAAAACAAATGTCATGGCTTTTTCAATTCACTTATTTGTCATGTTATCCACATGCTTAGTGTTTATTGTTTATCAATGTCGCGATCCGGTAAACTTCGTCAACAAACTCGAAAGTTAATTAGCTTGTGATCAACAATCACTGAATGAAATATTATTTGGCTATAATACGTTATAAATTTGTAATAAATGTTATAAACGTGCATACAAGACTTAGTTCAGTATAAATGCATGCATTGCAATAATTTCGATAACATTAAAATTTCAAGAAACTCGTTTCATATGACTTTAACTATACTTTGTCATTTAAAATCTCACTGATTTCACATATGTGGACAGTAAATTTATATTTAAACATGATAAACAAAAAATTTAGTTCAATTTAATATATCATGTAAACTTTGAAAAAAATTAGCTGTTGTCCTTCTAATATCCTTAACAGTAAAATAGTATGTTTGACCGGGACAAAGCTTGGTTGTGGAGAAGGGGGGTGTGGTGCATGTACTGTCATGATATCAAAATATCTACCTGACACAAAAACTGTCAAGTAAGTGTTAACTGTGAAATAGTATGTCTGATGGGGACAAAGCTTGGTTGTGGAGAAGGAGGGTGTGGTGCATGTACTGTCATGATATAAAAATATCTTCCTGACACAAAAACTGTCAAGTAAGTGTAAACAGTGTAATAGTATGTTCGACAGGGACAAAGCTTGGTTGTGGAGAAGGAGGGTGTGGTGCATGTACTGTCATGATATCAAAATATTTTCCTGACACCAAAACTGTCAAGTAAGTATAGTACTATGTCTGACGGGAACAAAGCTTGGTTGTGGAGAAGGAGGATGTGGTGCATGTACAGTCATGATATCAAATACCTACATGAAACAAAAACTGTCAAGTAAGTGTTAACTGTGTTATAGTATGTTCGACAGGGACAAAGCTTGGTTGTGGAGAAGGAGGGTGTGGTGCATGTACTGTCATGATATCAAAATATTTTCCTGACACCAAAACTGTCAAGTAAGTATAGTACTATGTCTGACGGGAACAAAGCTTGGTTGTGGAGAAGGAGGATGTGGTGCATGTACAGTCATGATATCAAATACCTACATGAAACAAAAACTGTCAAGTAAGTGTTAACTGTGTAATAGTATGTTTGACTGGGACAAAGCTTGGTTGTGGAGAAGGAGGATGTGGTTCATGTACTGTCATGATATCAAATATCTACAGGAAACAAAAACTATCAAGTAAGTGTTAACTGTGTAATAGTATGTCTGACAGGGACAAAGCTTGGTTGTGGAGAAGGAGGGTGTGGTGCATGTACTGTCATGATATCAAAATATCTTCCTGACACAAAAGCTGTCAAGTTAGTGTAATAGTATGTCTGACCGGAACAAAGCTTGGTTGTGGAGGAGGGTGTGGTGCATGTACTGTCATGATATCAAAATATTTTTCCGACACAAAAACTGTAAAGTAAGGGTTAACTGTGATGTTTTGTTGTATGTACTATCTTAGTCCTTATTGTAAATTCCGGTACTTTTAAAATTTGATTGCTTAAATTTCCAAATTTCCAAATGGTATCCCACTTTGTATTGTAACACATTTATACAGGTGAAAAATTAGCAATAACAGTAAGTGTATTTTTGTCCGTCAAATATATTTGGTTAAACAAAGAAACAAATATCCACGAAAATGTTAATATTTATCAATTCTTGAAACTTGGCACTTACAAAAAATAAATGAATCCATAATATTGCATATTTAGATTTAGAATAATTGCATGAAAATAGATTTACGAATTTTAGAGAGAATGTTTAAATTTATTTCATAGAGGAAGTTTTAAAAAAAAGTTTAATAATATATCCAAATGGATTTTTCATACTTACAAAAACATATATTGAAACTACTTTGCTTGAAAATTAGCTCACAACCCTAGCTTTAGGAGACCGTTTCTAGGAAGATAAGATGGTTAGACATAATTTAAAAAGTAATTAAAACTGACTGCTTAAAGAATATATTGACCTTTTATTTGTAGACATTTTTCTGCCAATGCTTGCCTTATACCACTATGTTCTCTACTTGGAATGGCAGTCACTACCGTGGAAGGAATTGGCAGCATACAGAATGGACTACACCCAGTACAGGTAAGTAACGTCACAAGAAACTAGCAAGGGTCAGAGGTTACCACTTTATGTTCTCTACATGGAATGGCAGTCACTACAGTGGAAGGAATTGGTAGCATACAGAATGGACTTCACGCAGTACAGGTAAATAACGTCACAAGAAACTAACAAGAGTCAGAGGTTACCACTTTATGTTCTCTACATGGAATGGCAGTCACTACCGTGGAAGGAATTGGCAGCATACAGAATGGACTTCACGCAGTACAGGTAAGTAGCGTCTCAAGAAACAAGCAAGGGTCAGGGGTTACCACTTTATGTTCACTACATAGGATGGCAGTCACCACCGTGGAAGGAATGGGCAGCATACAGAATGGACTTCACCCAGTACAGGTAAATAGCGTCTCAAGAAACTAGCAACGGTCAGAGGTTACCACTTTATGTTCTCTACATGGAATGGCAGTCACTACCGTGGAAGGAATTGGCAGCATACAGAATGGACTTTACGCAGTACAGGTAAGTAGCGTCTCAAGAAACTAGCAAGGGTCAGGGGTTACCACTTTATGTTCACTACATAGGATGGCAGTCACCACCGTGGAAGGAATGGGCAGCATACAGAATAGACTTCACCCAGTACAGGTAAGTAGCGTCTCAAGAAACTAGCCAGGGCCAGGGGTTACCACTTTATACCCAGTACTGTTGATTCAGTGTATACATGGGTACCAATGTTGGTTGATATTGTGGGTAAAGGGAAACCACAAATATGAATGTTCAACGAAGTATAAATTTTCTATAGGCTTCTATATAAGCTTTTTCAAAACAAGGAAATCAAATATGCACAACAATTGGTACCCATACAAAAAAAAAGAAGAATCCACAGTATCTTGAATGACTGCTATCACTATGTATTGAGTGATCTATATATGTACAGATATTTAATGTCATAAAATATGTAATCAATTGGATTTTCATTTTTTTATAAACTTATCCAGTAAGTTTGAAAAAACATGTAGGTTAAATTTTAATGATGTGCAAGAACCTCGGTCAAAATAATCTGAACAGGCCCATATATAACATTTTGACCTCATAATTGATAATTAATATCTATTGATATAATGTCTTTTTCTGTAATCTTTTGTTTTACCCTTTATTTTCATAGGAGAGAATAGCCAAGTCACATGGTTCACAGTGTGGGTTCTGTAATCTAGGTATTGTCATGACAACCGTTTACTTTTTATTTTCATAGGAGAGAATAGCCAAGTCACATGGTTCACAGTGTGGGTTCTGTACTCCAGGTATTGTCATGTTTAACCTTTGTTTTATAGGAGAGAATAGCCAAGATACATGGTTCACAGTGTGGGTTCTGTACTCCAGGTATTGTCATGACAACTGTTTAACCTTTGTTTTATAGGAGAGAATAGCCAAGTCACATGGGTCACAGTGTGGGTTCTGTACTCCAGGTATTGTCATGTTTAACCTTTGTTTTATAGGAGAGAATAGCCAAGTCACATGGATCACAGTGTGGGTTCTGTACTCCAGGTATTGTCATGTCAACTGTTCAACCTTTGTTTTATAGGAGAGAATAGCCAAGTCACATGGATCACAGTGTGGGTTCTGTACTCCAGGTATTGTCATGTCCATGTACACACTGCTGAGAAATAATCCACAACCTACTGGAGCAGAAATGGAAAATGCATTTGAAGGTAAACTTTGTATTTGAAATACTTAATAGAATAACTAACTGCAGAATTCAAATATAGAAAAATATTCGACAAGTGACCAAACAACACATTAGTTCAGGAAAGCGCGTGATTTAATTATCAGTGTTTTTCGGTCATGACTTGAATATTTTTTCGATATTTGAATTCTTTGATTAGTTATTCTTATTGTTACATTGACAATTGACTTTTTAATGAAATTAAAGTAGAAAATGTAAGGAACTATATCTTTTCCTACGCATTCATATTTGCTTTGAAGTGACGTCATCGAACAACGTCTTGACAACATCTATTGTTGTATGACGTCAGAGGAGTGAAATAACCAAGTTTATTTTACATGTGAAACTATTGGTTTTTATTTCACTGGGTAATCACGATTATTTATTGCAACCAATGTAATAAATTATTTTTTATCAATTCCATGTAGAAAATGAAAAGTAAAATGGGTTCTCCTAGTCTTGTTTTCATGATATTTTACTGAAAAGAAGCAATATCTGTTAAATTATCTCCCCCCTACTTTTTGCTGAAGTCATATCCTCTGATAGAATCAAAAACATTTTTAACACTGGGAACACTGCGATAAACTCTATAGATGTTATAATGTTTATATACAGGAAATTTATGTAGATGTACTGGCTACAGACCAATACTGGAAGGATTTAAATCATTTACAAAGGTAGGGTTTGCTGCTGAAAATATTTATATCTTATTATATCAATTTGAATAATAGGGTTGTTCTAGTAGTAATGTTACAAATAAGGGTAAGGGTTAAGGATGATAAGTATATTTATGTAAAGCCATGATTATTCTTTTCTTATTATCCAGACTGCACTTTCTCTGTTTTACTTTGCTCGCGGTCGCGGCCGTTAAAGTCTGGATAACTTATGGTGTGACTGAGATTGTATATACGAACACTGTGATATTTCAGGTATCGTGTCCGAATTATATTATTATTGTATTGATTTATTGTTATATTTATTCGGAATGATAAGATATATAGAGTTCGTCTCACTGTTTGTCCAAAGGGGGGTCCCGACATGTTCCCAGCTTTATTTATCCCCGGGTTATCATTGTCACGCTTTCTCACCTTTATCGTATATTTATATAAGGGTTATATATTGTAATTGGGCATATCCTTTGTTAATGCACAGCTTCCATCGTCCTCTTTTCCTTTTATTCCCTAGACTTCTTCTTCGTTTACTGGAGGCCGCCATTTATTTACCTTGTGTGCGCACGTGTTTGCCGTGGGAATAGAAGACGAAACACGACCTATAACCCTATGGGCAATCAACCAATCAAATACCATAGAATTGCCCACTGATACCACAGGGATGTGGGTTGTGGGCACTAAGCATAAAAAAGGCATCTTTCGTCTGCTCTTGTTCTAAGGTTGCAACCCTATACCAGGGACCATAGTTCTTTTACCCTGTAAACTATACCAGAGCATACCACCCGAAAATGTTTCAACATCGCCACCAGATTATTCTGAGTAGGTTGCCCCGTATTTATATAGACTGTCCTCAGTGTGACCTAGAGTATTTTATTATGTATAGACTGCATTTACAACCAAAATACCAAATACTATGATTGACGCTTGACGTTCCAAGGGGGGGGGGGGGGGGGTCCCTGTTAACCGTTTTATGCTCTGGGGATTATTATATTTGTATGAAATATCACTTATAGTTGTATATTAAATTGATAAAGAGTTGATTTTGACTCTGTTATTATTTGAATGTGTTTTACATAAAACCAGTGCCTTTACAACCCATGCTACCAATGGTTGAAGACCAGTAATTTTGACTACAATACCAGTAGTAAGAACTTTCAGCCTTATACCAAGGTTGTCCTATAATAATATTAATTTTGTTTTATAACAGTTTGAGGTCTACAGACCCGAACCGTAACATTTGGTGGCAGCGGTGGGATCTGTGAAAATTAAAACCATACCTCAGTGAGAGACTGTGTGAACTTAACCTTATGATATAATTTAAGGACCAAGTTAAATTTTATTTTTGTAGTATACTTACCAAGTTTAATAAATAATTATAAATTGTATAATTAAAAACTGAAAATGAATCACGGTGAGGGGGTCAGAAGATGAAATTGAAAGTAGGAGTATTTCTCCACTTAGTGGAAGTTCAAGAGCTACCACACCTGAGATACTTTCACCTTCTCAAGTCAAATTTCAAGGGGATCGTCTTTACCAGAAATCTCAGTTCAATGAAATTAAAATACAAGTTGACAAAATAACCCAGGGTTCGCAAAAACCTGGGTTTTATGATAATTGCCCAGCCCAGTGGGAAATACTGGGAAAACCAAGGTTTTACTGGGTTTTACCGGGTAATACTGGGCAATACTGGGTAATATAAAATACTGGCCTGAATTTTAAAGAGGATTCAGTGATCAAACACGACTGCAATACATTTAAGATATTTATAAACATATTTTGATTGATAGATAAGTGTACTTGTTAGACAGGCTTATAATACAAGTGTATACATTTGAGAAAGTATTATTCTAGCAACTCTGAGACACATTAGACAAATATTAATGGAAAAAGCCTTTCTCAATAATTCTAAAAATCTATTAAATCACCCTTCTGTCTAGATTGGTCAAACTGTTAACATAAAGCTAAAGAATTCCTTTTTTTTTCTTCAAATATATATAACTAATATAAGAATTAACAATTACATGTAAGACACATTATTTTTAAATAATTTATATGTACATCACTAATTAATAAGTGTTTATTCAGATTAGCATTAGCGTTTGGATGATTGAAACAATGCATGAAAATTAACAAGGTATCCTAAAATGTGCAAATCTTGTATTCTGCCTACATAGAATTAGTGGAGAAGAGTATGAAATTGAATTTTCAATCTTATAGAAATGACTCTCAACGGTTATCTGTATAAAATGTATATATTTAGGTATAATACTATGAAACTACAACAAGTCTTTACTATTTTGTGTTGAAATAAGCTTAAAAAAATCATATTGCCAAGTATTACCCGTTTCTGGGGGTATTGCCCAGCACGGGAAAACCCGGGTTTTCCCACCTGCGTTTTCCCGGGCGTCTAATACTATTTGCTACCGAGATGGGTATTGATCTTTCAAAGTCCTTTGTCCAAGATTATGACACATAATCCGTGTAAAACACTTATGCTTAAATTTATAACAAAGTTCAGAATAATAAAATAAATGCAAAACAAGAATATACATTAAAACAACTGAATTCATAAAATGTTGTTTAAAAACTAATTTCATTGCACAGTCCAAATTGTCCGGTCATATATTCCCGCGGCCCTTGAAGACACGACCCGGGTCTTATTGTTCATCTGAAATTGTTCCGAAAGTTTCTTCTGTGGTTGTTGCGTCCTCTGTAACGATAGTTTTGGTTTGAATAGTTATCTTCTCTTGAATGTTTCCGAAAATTGTCCAATTCGTCTTCTAGTTTGGTGATTCGATCCCGCATATGTTCTTTATCGCGTTGTAGATTGAATTGCTTATCGATTGCTTCACATCTTTGATCGTACAGCCCAAAATTAAATTCTTCAAGGTTATTAATGCGTTCACGTAGTTTTTCCATTTTTTTGGTCATCTGCGTTTTGTTTTTGAAGTTTTTCTAGATTGCTAACAACACTGGTATGTTTTTGATTTTTATTCTTTCAATTTCTTTTCATAGTGTACACTTTTAATTTTGAATTTAACTCTCTCGGAATTCACTCGGTCGTGCCTGAGTCTTACGTTATCTATGAATTCCTTGTTATATTCTAAGGTTGGAAAGAAGACCATCAGTTCTATGGTATTAAGTTCCGCACAAGGAAACATTGACATAGCTTTCTGTTCTTTGAATTTTCTCATTCTTTCTGCGTCACGACGTAACTTGGATTTCGATTAAACCTTAACAACTTTCACGTTCGGTTGTCTGTGAAAATTACACATTCTGGCGTAATGTCCAAAACTTCTGCACTTATAGCAAAATGACGTTTTTGCTATACATTGTCTAAAATGAAATTGATTGTTCACAGTCTTTCCACAAAACTTGCATAGGTAGTTGTCCATATGTTGAAAATTTCTTGTCTGAAAGGTAGTTCCATGATCAGACATCTGGTTTCTCCAGTCTCGGCCAAAATTTCTGGTTCTCCGCGTATCCATTTTTCTGTTTGCTGGGGGATCAGCTTCACAGGTAGAACAAGGTATCCGATAGATGCGTTGCCCGAGTCCTCCACCAGTTATAGCCGGGTAAAATGGCGTTCCGGCTAAATGAAAATCATACTAGGGCCTTTGTACCTATTACAATACCTACGCAAGTACCACACATTGTGAGCAAACCAGCTGCCTCGTACAACCCTCACCAGAGTAACTCAAATGTCAATATCGGCTACACCAAACCATTCACATATGATAGCAAGTCAGATTGGGTTGATCATAGGGTTCATTTCGACAAGGTTTCTAAACTTAACAACTGGCCAGATGAAATAAAAGTATTAAACTTATTTCTTGCATGCAATGGGCTGCTTTAGCCACAGTATGACATATAGATACTAATAACCCACCAAGTTACAATGAGCTAATGCAAACTCTAATTAAGAGGTTCTCCCCTCCTAACCAGTCTGAAATGTATATGACCCAAATTTATGCTAGAATTAGGAGGAGGTGAGTCTTTACCAGAATTAGCCCAAGATATTAAAAGACTTGTACGCCTGGCTAATCCAACAGCCCCACTAGATGTTCAAGATAACCTAGCATACAGAGCATTCCGAAATCACTTAATGACCAAGAGCTTGAATGGGTAATTGTCCAGACAAGCACTGATACCATTGATGAGGCACTACACCTTGCCCTCAAATATGAGGCCTAGCATTTAAGCCGAAAGAGGACCTCTATTAGATATCAGACCAATGAACAAAATACTAAAACCTCATTTACCAGGGATCAGGATGACCAATCTAACCTTTGTTATTACTGCCATAAACCTGGTCATATTGCCAAAAAGTGCAGAAAGAGGCTTTTTGACAAGAAAAATGTTCTAAATGATGTACAAAACCAAAATAAAACACAAAGGCAACCACTTGGGGACCAGGAAAACTAATTGGAGCTGAAAGTAAGGGTCAACTTTTAGCTGTAGGGAAAGAAAATAACCCTAGACCCATATTATTTCAACTTAAACAAGATAATAATGAAGGATTATTTTTTTAATTTGTCAATTCATAACTAAAATGTTAATTGTTTAATGGATACTGGTTCCTCAATAAGTGTCTTAAACACTCCTATATACAATAAGTTTTTACAAAAAGTAAAAGTACATTTGATGCCATATAATGTAACTTACGAATAGCAAATGGCAGTCATGTGGTACTATTAGGTGTCCTATCCTTACCAATTAAATTAGGGGATCAGATTGTACAGCAAGAGATGATTATTGCAGATATTCAAATACCAGCTGTTCTGGGCTATGACTTTATGGTGAAAAATAAATGTGTAATTGACATTGACAAATGTACCTTAAAATTAAACAATCAGACCATTGTTTGCGAATTAGAAAGTCAAATACCAAGTTTATTCAGAATTACAATTGGTCAGAAGGTCACCATACCTCCTTGTAGTAAAATGATTGTTAAAGCCATCATTACTGAGGGTGCAACTGACAAGGCAAACCAATTGATTGATTCA